CAAATCGATACGTAAGAATTACACTAAATATATTGTTATCGTTATTTAATTACAAGTAATATTATGTGATTGACGACTTATATATTATGATATTATTATTATTATTATTATCAGGTGGTGATAGATAATGGCATTGTTCAACTTACCCTAACAAATCCAACTGGACATATTTCTGGGATAAGTTATAATGGAATCGATAATCTATTGGAAAAAAAGAATCGAGAAGTAAGGAGAGGGTAAGTACTTTTTTTGTTTTTTGGTTATTTTCACTAAAATAATAAAGTATAATTTAAGGTAGGATAATTATATAAAGTTACAAAGTTAGGATAATTATATTTGAATTCCTATTGTATTTAATACTAATTTTTTTTAAAAAATACAGATATTGGGATGTTATGTGGAAACTTCCAAAAGACCAGGGTGGCACTTTTGATACGTAAGTAATCTAAAATTTTTATGTTAATATTATGAAAAATTATATAATTTTGCTTTTCTATACTACATACATAAATATGTCGTGTGTTTTATTATTAATTATAATCATGTATGCAAAATAAAAAAAATTATTTCAGGTTTTTTATGAAAAATTTCAAAGTTATATCACAAGATGATGATAAAGTTGAAGTTTCTTTTACAAAAACGTGGAATTCCAATGCAGACCATGATCTTCCTCTAAACATTGACAAAAGGTGAGTTTTTATTTTTTATTTTATATATATATTATACATAACTATAAGGTTAATAACATTATTGATCGCTCAAATATTGATAAATTCTAATTTTTGTTTCTATAATATCTAATTTAATCTTCAATTACTTGAAATGTTCACTTTTAATCCCTTTTGCATATGAACATTCACAAGTTTTTAAAATTATTAAGTCGTTAAATTACTCATGTGTTATATTAAATTTGTATTGTTATTTTATATTTGAAGGTAATATAATGTAATATTCTCCTAAAGTAGTCCAAATATACCGCTACATAAATGAACCATTTATACACATTTTAATTGGTTGATGGTTACATATATATTTTGTCATATATCACTAAAATCTGTATTATCAATAATCCAGAGATTAAAACTATTGTTTTCCATATATTACATTATCAATAATGTGAGTATGTGAATATCAACTAATCTTAAGTAAATTGTTGCTATTTTTTTTGTTTTGTAATTTAAAATAAATAAATGTTAATTTTTTCATGAATAATATTATAATTTACAGGTTTGTGATGCTAAGAGGAAATTCAGGATTTTATTCATATGGAAAATTTGAGCATTTAGAGGGAATGCCTGCACTTAGAGTAGACGAAGCAAGAATTGCAATCAAGCTCAGTCAAAACTTGTAAGATTAATATACATGCACACTATAAATTTTTCGATTAACGATGTTCAACTGATTATTATCTATCTGTTGTTGTTGCTGGTAACTATTTTGGTGTATTAATGATTTTTTAATATTAATAAGTATTTCAATTTAATTAAATTCTTATAATTTTGGTGAATTAATGAATTATTTGTTATATTATTTAGGTTTCACTATATGGCTGTATCAGATGATAGGCAAAGGGTAATGCCAACAAATCAAGATATATCCCATGGAAAAGCCCTTGCCTATAAAGAAGCTACTCAAATAACACATCCATCCAATTCTCCATTTAACTATGAGGTAATTATTATTATTAATTAATTAAAGGATTTAATTTTCTCTTATAATTACATTTAATCAAAATTTGTAACTAATCATTAATGTTTATGACTTAATATTTTATTTAGGTTGATGACAAGTACCAATTTTCTTCTGATAACAAAGATATTAAAGTACATGGATGGATTTGTAATAATCCACATGTAGGTTTTTGGGTGATTACACCAACTAATGAATATACATGTGGTGGACCAATGAAACAAGATCTTACTTCTCATTCTGGTCCCACCTCTCTAGCCGTAAGTAATTTTATTTGTTATCTATTTCGATTTACGTGACATACTTTTTTTTCAATTTTTTTTAATATATATACATATAATTTTTTTTTGCAGACATTTTTTAGTGGCCATTATACAGGTCCACAATTAGGATTAGATCTCCAAGATGGAGAATCATGGAAAAAAGTATTTGGTCCTGTTTTCTTTTATCTCAATTCAGATTCTGGTAATAACCATCAAACCCTTTGGGAGGATGCTAAAAGACAGGTAATTTGATCATCATATTCAACTATCGTAAGTCGTAATGCATGAACGTGAATTCAAAATTTAAATGTTATAAGTCCTAAAAGTTTATTATATACATACATACGTATTTAAATAAATATGATAAGATATGGATTAAAATTATAAAATTCTTTTTGTATCTGTCTAGTAACATGTTAATGTGTGTGATCATTTGATCGAGTATATGTATAACATGAATTTTATTCATTTGCAGATGTTTGAAGAAACTAAAAAATGGCCATATGATTTTCCACAATCAAAAGAATATCTCAAAGCCAATGAACGGGCCACAGTTAGCGGTCGATTATTGGTCAATGACAGGTAAAATAATGCTCTTTTAACTTAATAAAAATAACTTAAATTTGCTCTTTTTTCATCAAATTCGATTTTAAAAATACTCTTCTTTTACTTATTGAACCGAATGTTTTGTGATTTTGGTTTAGGTACATAAGTGAAGATCCTTTTTATGCAAAATCAGCATATGTTGGATTGGCCCTGCCTGGAGATGTTGGATCATGGCAAACTGAAACCAAGGTAAGTTACGACACGTTTAGATATTTTTTTAGTCTCTTAAAATCAATCGATAACTTATATATAAAATTTTGAATTTTCTTATTTTACAATTTTATAGCCATAAAAGGTCAAAAGTGTCTTTCTTTAATTTTGTGTGTGATTAAATAAATATGATCAATGACATAATCTTTATATAAATGAGGTAACTTCTATTTTTTTGCTTAGGGTTATCAATTTTGGACTCAAACAGATGAGTCTGGGTATTTCAAGATTAATGGAGTTATACCCGGAAGTTATAACTTGTACTCATGGGTCCCTGGAGTTATTGGAGATTACAAATACAACCTCAACTTTACCATAACTCAAGGTTCTTTCTTTTTCTTTTTTCTTTTCCTTCTCTCGATAATAAAAGAACAGTCTGGTACACAAAACATTCTGGCATTCTCATAATAATCACGTAAAAGGTCCGCACCTTAAGGGTTGTGCCCTGATATTTCATTGTTTAAACCTGTGACCTATATGTCACACGAAAACAAAATTTTCAATAATATATTTTTTTTAATTTTTGCAGGAAGTGACATTAATCTAGGTGACTTAGTTTATAATCCTCCAAGAAATGGTCCAACTTTATGGGAAATTGGAATTCCTGATAGAACTGCAGCTGAATTTTTTGTGCCTGATCCATTGCCTAGCCTCACCAATCATGTATTCATAAACAGTACAACACATAGGTAATATTTCATTAAACCTAACTTATGAGTTCAAACTTATATATATTATCGATCGACGATGTAACAAATATATCATGTTAAGTTTAATAACGTAAATAATAAGTGTATAAGAAGATTAAATATACTGCTCAATTTGATATATCGCAGGTTTAGACAATATGGTTTATGGGATCGTTATACAGATTTATATCCTAACGAAGATTTAGTATACAGAGTTGGTGTTAGTGATTACACAAAGGATTGGTTCTATGCCCATGTAACCAGGTAATTAATTTGCGATAACTGATAAATTACTGTAATTAATTCGATCTTTACAGAAATGCAGGAGAGTCTTAGTCCTAATCATAATGGGACCTTAATACACCAATCGAGCTGTCATTTTTTTTTATAAAAAAAATGAACATATTATTGACAGTTTTTAATTTTAATTTTTTGGATTTTGCCTTTTCAGGAGGACTGTACATAAACAATATATACCAACAACATGGCAAATTTTATTTGATCTTTCAACTGTGGATCCAAGTGGAACTTATACACTCCATATAGCATTAGCTTCAGCCACTTCTTCTCATTTGCTAGTAAGTAGCTTAATTTCTCTAAATTCCTAACGTCTCAATTTATATGACACATTTTTTCAGTTTAGTCTGTCCTATGGCTAATTTGGACTAAACATATAGCATCGACACATGAGAAATCTTGTTACAATGTATTTATGACTTTTTATGTTTAAAACGTTACATAGCCATAAGATATTGGACACCCTATCCTATTCGACTTATTTGATATCTTATTGTCAGTATATAAGAGTTAAATCTTATTGCTTAATACCTTACTTTTCTTTTAGTTTCTCGTTAAATATAATATATAATTAAATATTAATATTTTTTTTGTTTCAATTTTAGGGAAGAATAAACAATCCTACCAAACCAAGGCCAATTTTTCAGACCCCAGGACTTGGAAAAAGTAATGCAATAGCAAGACATGGAATTCATGGACTATACTCACTTTTCACTTTTGAAATTCTGGGAAATAATTTACAAATCGGAGAAAATATCATATATTTAACTCAAGCTAAAGGTGGTACCCCTTTTAACGGAGTAATGTATGATTATATTAGACTCGAAGGACCTTCGCAGTAAATATGAGGAGATTATACATATTTTTTGAGAAAGTTGTAGGGTACAAATGTAATTTACTCACTTGTTATTTTTTTTTCTATAAATATTTTTATTTGTGGATTTGAGAAATAAAAACTCTTGTTTTATATTATAATAATGTTCTTGTATTATATCAAAAGTTATGAAAACAAATCGTTTCATTTATTTTTTCAATTTTAATATAACAGTCGATAAACAATATATATTAAAATCGAGCATCATATGTTTATATTATTATCAATATATAATTTTAAAACTATCGCTATTAGACACTTAAACTGTTTCCGCTAAATAAACAATATCATTGGGGAAAGAGAGCTTTGTGTTTGCGATGGTACCCTTATTTAACAACATTTTGATTTGTAGATTCCTCAAAAACTGAGAAATGAAGCAAACAGTAGAGATTTGAAATAACTGATCGTAATAGTATGAAAAAGTATGGTGGAAACTCTTATATTTATTAAAAATTCACCGAATATGTACGTATAATAAACTTAAATTAACTTGTAATTTATAAATCTTGAATCTATCTCGATCAAACCGGTTAGATTTGTGCACTGAGTAATGGTCTGCATTTCTCGTATTTTCCTTTCAGTCGTAAGCTTCATCCTCCCCCTAATTAACCAACAAAATATATTGTGTAAATTATACATGGTCAAATAAGGATTAATTGCAAAATTAATGATCTACTTGGGGTTTGTTTAGAACAAAAATAAGAAGTCTAACCCATCCGGTGGCCTCTAAACTTGGCAATAATTTTTACTTAGACACTTTAACTAGGCTTTCTTCATTTTAGACACCTCATGTTAGGCTTCGTTGTGTCATTTTGACATGAAGTGTCTAAAATGAACAAAGTCTAATTAATATGTATAACTGAAAATGCTGTCAAGTTTAAGAGGTTACCGATGGATTAGGTCAAAATAAGATTAAATCAAAATTTAATTTGTTTGACATATGATAAAGATTCAATCCCTAGATCAAGACGATTAAGCTTTAAGAAAATTATTTTTCTTCTTCTTATTTTATTATAAATATGAGGCAATCTAATCGGTGAGATAAGAAATTTTAATTCAGAATCAAAATATCTACTAATAAAAGTATATTCAAAATAAATAATTATGTCATTTTAAGTTCCAACGTTATTGATCTTGAAATAACTTGTTCACTAATCAAACGAAACTTACTATTCAAAAAAATAAACACATTAAAATTTTGCTTATTTAATTAACTCACCTTCTCTGGAGTCATGAAGTGAACAGATTTCTTTTTTGACTTTCCTTGATCTCCATATTTGTTCATTATTAATTTTTCTCTAACATAAGTCTCATATATAAAAGTAGCTCCTCTAAATTGTGGCAAAACTAGCCATGCCACACCAATCAACTTCACATCATACCATATTGGTATCCTAATAATTATCCAAAATAAAATAAAGTAAGTAAATTATATTTTCACAAAAATAATAAGTATAAAAAAAGGGAGGACTTAGTTACCAATTAAGAATGGGTTGAAATAGCATCTCCACAAGTGTAAGAAAAGAATATAGAATCCAATAAGCAAGCCATTGTTCATCATCCAATTTAGATGTACTCTCTAGAGCTACTATTGATGCATACCTACACAACATTTTTAGATTAACAAATTGGGTTCTAATAATTTATTTTTATGTATATGAAAATTCTTAACGTATCGAGGACGATCGAAAAAACTAGCATTTTATTGAAGCTTCATAAGGTCTTTATATTATGTTCAGGTGCAAATAGTTTGCATCTTTATTGAACTTCATAAGGTCTTTATGTTTTGATGCAGATAGTTTGCATATTCATAGTTTCACCAAACTCTCACAAATAATAGATTTTGATAATTTTTTTTAATTATTACCAAATTTATAACTATATGCTTGTGAAAAAAAGATATTTATGACATCTTATGTAAATTCACATCAAAATGAGAAAAAAATCGTAAAGAACTTTATAAAATATAATACTATTTCTGTATTTTATATAAAATACGTATATTTAGGCTCGATAATAACGTAGCGCTAAAGGATAAATGGGAGATGAAAGAGATTAATTATTTATAAGAATATTACTACTCACAGAGGATAGATCAACATCATCACAGGCCTGCAATTTTAAAACAAAATACAACTTGTCATTTTCAAGAATTTAATAGCCCCCAAAAGTAAAAAATTAGAATGACAAAAATAGGAAATAAAAGACTATAATAATAATACTACCCAGCAAGAGTATGAAGACTAGTGATCAAAGTCCACAAATGACCCATAATTTCTCTTCAATTAAATGCTTCAAAAGAAACTTTAGATACAAAATAAAATAAACAACTTAAGCAAATAATGAAAAATTATGTGATAAAGTTTGAGTTGAAAAATTGTATATTTATAGGACAAATTGGTATCAGATTCTTGCTTTAACGTAGTGTCCTAGGTTTAGCACATGACAGATCAACTGAAAATAATTTATTGATTAACCATACATTAACTAGATCCAAGGTAAATAACACATCATTACATTTAATCAGGCCAAATTCACAAAACAAATATCTAAAGTTATCGTATTTTTCTCCTCATGTATTTAAATTATGTCATATTTCTATTGAATCATTAAATCACACATAATTTTGTTCTTTGTAAACATCGTTGGTTAATTTTGATCGGTTTTTCTATTGTAAATGCCTTTAATTGTGTTTGCATTGTAATGATTTTGATTGAAGGAATGAAGACAAATTGTGTGTTAGTCTCATTTGTTTTCTAATGTGTTTAAATGACTTGAAGTAAAATACAATTATTTTCGAATATTTTCTCTATCAATTGGACGAATGAGTTCTGAACAACATATGTATCCTTTATTAATATTCCTCACAAAATCCGGAAAAGGGCCTAAAATACCATCAAAGTATTGGAAATGGTACAAAAATATCCTCTATCCACCTAATGGCTCCAAAATACCTTTCCCATCCATCTATCGAGTCCAAAATATCCCTGTCATCCACTTTTTGGTTCAAAATTGACCACTTATTTAACGATTTTATATTTAAACTATTTAAATATTATTTTAAATACGTGGCGCTCAACTATTTGTTCTAATTGAACTTATTAATATAATTTATAAATCAATCCAATACCCACCCATAACTAATTAAACCCCTCCAAATTAATAAACCCATTACGTTATTAATACAACAACAGAAAAGCTACTGCAAATTGAGTGTTTTTTTAAAAAAAAATTGGCGAAAAATATCTATAGAAGTAAATTATCACATTCAATGTCTATTATCTGATGTTACTTTATAGGTAACTTCTTTTCAAAATAATATATTAAAGGTTTTAAAACAAACCATAAATATTTATAAAATTATATTTTAAAAAAATGCATGAATTAATTGGGATGTATTACTTCTTTACCTTTAATCATAAATTTCTAATTCAAGCTTGAAAGAGAATCTTGTTGAAAGTGTCATCCTGTAGGTCTTCAGATACTTTTTTAGTATTTCGAAAAGTATCATGGGTCTTTCTAATTATTAAGAAAACAAAAGAAGGGTTTGCGTTTGTTTGAGCTAGGTGAACAAATAAGTGTGAGGAAGAGTGAGAGGGAGGCTACGAGTTCTCTTTCGTTGTTGTTCAGAGATCGCTAATCTCTTCCTTTCTCAAATTTTGACTCGGTGAGATAAAAAGTTCCAGAACTAACAAGGTAAAAACTTCATGTCATTCGACATTTACATCAAATCAATCAATTTAACCGTCAAAATCAATAATTAAAGTGATTCTAAAACGTTAAATATTTTGGATCAAGTTTAATTTGTCAAAACACTAATGTTTGGAGTCGAATTGAGTACTTTTTGATTATTTAAGATGTGTTTTTTTTTATAATTAATTATGTACACAAAAAACATCACATTGATCATGACTATATCATCATGTTAAGTTGTTTACTAATGGACTAATATTAAATCTTATTCAAATCAAAACCACATTTTAGCAACAAAATTATTCCAACTTTGACTCTTAAAATGAGGAATTTCTTGCAAAATAATTTTATCACGTACCCATCTTTTCTTATAGATTTGACCTTTAAAATGCTAATGTGCAGTATTATGTAATAACAAAAGCAATACAATCTATTTAAAATGTTACATTCAAATTCAATACATTTTAATATCAAACTTCACCATGACTACTAAAAATAAACATAACATAACATACTACCTTATTATTATTGTGTAAAAAGTTTCTTTATTTTTTTACCATGCTTCAAAGCATGGTTATATAATAAAATTTCACGTGACTTAATATTTAATAAAGGCAAAATACATATATTGTATTCTAAACTTGACTTCATATTTTAATTTTGACATCTTATTTTCATAATGCAAAAACAGACACTTTAACTATTCAACTTTTAAATAAATAAACACATGAGTCCTACATGACACAATACACGTAGGACAAAAAATTACACGTAGGATGACATGTGTGTCTATTTGTTCAACTTTATACACATTTAAATGTCTATTTATACACATCCAAAATTGAAAAACATAAATATAATTTGAAATCAAGTTAAAAGGTATATTTATATATTATGCCTTAAATAAAAGGGAGAAGGGTCAAATATGCCCCTAAACTATTTGAAAAGGTTTAGATATACCCTCCGTTTAAAGATTGGTCCATTTATACCCTCGCCGTCCAACTTTTGGTCTACATATGCCCTTTTGAGCGTTAGTTGGCCAACTCGGAATATCCAACTCATTTTACTTTTATTTAAATGCCAAATGGATTTTTCACGTCATTTTTATT